TGCTTCAACCCCAATTCCAGCAGAATAACAGTTGCCAAGTGCAAATATTCCACCAACATCCAATATCTGCAGATTTTTGATAATAATTGAATGCCTTATATTCATCCTTTTTAACTCCAATTCCATTTTGTTAACAATATCCAAGATTATATATTCCATACGCATCCCCCATCTCTGCAGATTTTTGATAATAAATGAATGCCTTACGTTCATCCTTTTCAACTCCAATTCCATTTCGATAACAATATCCAACATTATATATTCCACAACCATTCCCCATCTCTGCAGATTTTTGATAATAATTGAATGCCTTATGTTCATCCTTTTCAACTCCAATTCCATTTCGATAACAATATCCAACACACTTTATTCCAGTTGCGTCCTCCATTTCCGCAGATTTTTGATAATAAATGAATGCCTTATGTTCATCTTTTTCAACCCATTTACCGAAACGATAACAAACTGCAAGAATTATTTGTGCCATAGGATTTAATTGATTATTTAAACAATATTTGATAATATTATCCGGATTTTGTTTGTTTTTTATTAGAAATTGTTCGAAGGAATCAAGAATTGAACCGTCCCTTTTGCCTTTCAAATTTTCTTCATTATAAAGATTATACATTTCTTTAATGATTTTATCAAGAAAATTCTGAGACATATCTTCTAAATATAATTGGTTAACTTCACTGGATATTTTGCTAACATCTAAGGGTTTGCCGATTTTATCTTGTCGTTTTGCAATTGACATTTTGACGCAATGAATGAATATGTTACAATGTAAACTGCATTGCGTAACGTTCATTTATTTCTTTCGGTGTGATTGCCACATATGCATTGTAACACCTTTCAACGAATTGATTGACAATTATTAATGATACTTCCAAATAACAACGTTTAAAACTAAGTTAACACTTCTAGGCTTTTTTTGCACCAATTTTCTCCCTAGTTTCCTACAAAATTACATCAAGTCTATTGCGTCAATCACCTAATATATCATTATTGGTGTGTTCGAATAGTAGTGCATTATTTGTAAAAAATAACTTATATAGTAAATTTTTTAATTAAGAGAATTTTCCAATATTTTTTCTTTAGAAAATTTACTTGATTGCTTTGATAATTCCTATTTTTTACGTATTATTTTTAGCAATTATAAATAATTCGCGAACGTTTAAAACAAGACTAATTATATCCTGAAGTCATTTTTCTCAAACTTTTGAGCTAGACTATTAAAATTAATTGTATTTATGTTATTTTAGCAAAAATATATGTAAATATTCAGCGATGCCTTCAATTCGGTGGGAACATGAAAAAAAATTGTGAATAATAGTAAAGCTTCTTTTTATTATAAAAACTAGAAATTTCAGTTTTAATGAACTAATAATCAGATATAACAGGCACTGTAATAATATACCGTTGCCCAATTATTTTATAATATAATGCTTTGAATTAAATTAAATTTAAATTATTAACCCTAAATATTATACCAAATTATAATTCAAATGCTTTGTTTTTGTTTAAAAATTTTTTAATAATTTCACATTATTTAATAAGTCTCTAATATCATGAATAATTGTTCTATAAATGTTGTAAATGGGGAATGGAATTTAAGTGATTTGGAATTTCCTAGTTAAATTAGGGTTGGGTTTTATATATAAATTCCGAATCCACTTAAATTCCGTTTCCACTTACAACATAAATACGAACTTATATTTTGCCTTAAAATTTAATGAAGATTCACTGTATTCATAATTACACAAGTTTAAATTTTAAAATCAGCTTTTCAAGACTTGAAATACTTCAAATTCATCAATTAAAGATCTATAATATCATCTCTAAGCCGTTTTTCATAATTTTCAGAATTATGTCCATATTCAGTAGATTTTTTGTTTCGTTAAAACAAAAGTATATGTTTTCAAATCCAACTTTAGCCATAACTCGAACCTTACCTGCCCGGTGCACTTCTCCAGACTTTTGATAATCCCTATTCTTTTCGACCCTAATCACATATTCGTTACAATAATCGAACTAGAACATCCACTCAAATTATTCATATAAATTTGATTTTTGCAATTCAATGATATTCAGTTGATTAAAAGCATCGCAGTTTGAATAATTTCATCTAATACTAAGTGTAGTATTTTTTTTAGCAAACAAGAATACCAAAATTAATATTAAGCACTGTTTTCTTAGTCGTTTAATCGTTTAACCGTTTAATTTTGCCGCATTAAAATAATTCCAGCTCACGACCAACATAATTCCGCCGGAACTTTTAAACGGTTATTACTAATTAATTTTAATTGATTGGTTACTTTATATACGTGATATATAAATATTACACAATATGGAGATCGACCTATGCGGCAAAACGCGTGCAGTTTAATTCAAAAAACAAGAACCAAATATATCTCTTTTCTTAATGCAACTTTTTATTCAGAATTAGTTGCGTCTTTTGCTATGCTTAATTCTAATTAAAAAATCTAATTTTGGATAAACATTGTAATTAATAAAGTGACAACTGATTCTTGTATTAGATACACGGTTTATAATAAATACATAAGAAGGATGCTTTTCAAGCAGCTCTCTCAATATGATTAGTTAGCGATCGATATGTTTAAATTAGAGATTGAATCCGGCATAAAATTTAAGCACCAGGTCGCCCACCCATTTACAAAATTATTACCGGTTTACGAACCGGGTCATTTCTAATAATTCGAGTAGCCCGGGTGACCGGTTGACCTGGCTTCATATAAGAGTTGACCAATCTAATACTGAAGCTATTAAAGTTTAAATGATTAAATCATCTACTTTTAATAAATAATTAAAGTGTCATTAACCAGCATGGATTTGGTGTCATCAAACCCAGGTTTTAGCAAATATCCATAAGATCGTTTCCTTATACTGTATATTTTGCTGGTTTTTCAATGAATTTGCTCACAGTCATTTCCTTGATATTTATTATACGTAATTTTTTTTATTCGCGTCAACTCACTTAATAAAGATCATTCGTTTCTTATTTACTTTATTCTATTTTACGTTGATCTAATAGATAGGTAATTGGAATTTCAAATTGAAAGGATTTATTTTAGTAAAACAGGTGACATATTCGTTTTTTCAAATAAACTATTTATAAATTTTATTTTCAAATTAAGTTCCAAATACACTTATTTATATGATAATTTTTATTATTAATTATGACTTAAACTATACATAACGTTAATATATGCATAGATGAATTTAAAATTTATTACATGAAATAAGAGTCTCAGACGCTCCCATTTGGCTTACTTACTTGACCTTCGTAATTACAAATTCGACTTTAAGCTCCACTCATTTCCGAAATCGCTTACTTTGATCTTACTATATTTCATTATGCATCATTCTGAAACCCTTAAATAGAAGTATTTAAGCACTTCACATTTTATTTAATTCTTACTTACGTATTTTGATTTAGTTTGAGCATAAAGATCATCTGTACTACCATATTTCTCACTAATTTTTATCAACCAAATTATTTAGATACGCTTATTTACGCTTGTTTAACCTGATCATTTATAACTCCAAGTACTAGAGGTATGCTACTCTAATTTCTTATTCACGTTTATTTAGCGTGAGTATAATGATCTTTTAAGTACTATATACTTAAAATAATTCTTGATTTTTGCTGATTGATTCAAATTTAACCTGGATCGCTCGGTGATTCTTACATGGGTACAATCTCTAGTTCAAATTATTGCGATTTATTGAGTGGTTAATGTGTACATTCAAGAACGACTTGTTAAAATTTCATTAAGGAAAATGCGGATTCTAATTTTAACCAATCAGAACAACTCTTTGAAAATAGTCGATTTTATTCTGATTAATTAAAATTTTCCTCCTACCTATTGATAGAAATGACTTGAAAACACCCTAAGTAGACTAACTTCTAACCGGTTTATAACATTATTTAAATACATTGTCGATTTTCATTTTATATCCGATAATTTACCTAAGTAGTGCAAATTTGCTGCCCCAAAAATTAATGATTTGTAAGCATTTATTTAAGTTAACATTTTTTGCAATATCTTTCGCTCAAACTTATTTTCATTCAAAATCAAACTAAAAATCATATCAGACATACAGCATTATTTATCAAAAATAAGCATTAATTATGAAGAGCCTACTTTTAATTTTAATTATTTTCATACTACAAAATTTTTCAATTGTCAAAGCAAAATTTGCCAATCCACAAATTATAAATCCACAATATGGTGCGTTGGCAAAATTTTGGGGAGTAGCAAATAACGAAGTGCCTAAATTATTAAAGAATGAGAAACTTTTAATTATGATTGACAATGAAATAAAACCGTTATTAAATGACTTAGATTTTGGAGGAACCTATATAGATGTAAAGGCAAACAAAGTATATATCAATACGATAAACCAATCTAAGGGTGAAAAGTAAAAAGATTGACCAAATACAAGGATTTTTTTGTATTTAAAAGCGCAGCCAATTCCTCATCTAAGTTAAATTCCGTATTTAACAAAATTATTAAATTATCTGAGAAATTTAAAACGATCAATATCATTATTAGTATTGAGCCCAAAGTTGACAATATCGTCATATCCTTAAATAAAAGGATTTTCAAAGGAACGAAGAATTTCTTGATAATGTTAAAATTTTTTAATCCAAATATAGAGATAGGTTCTTCCGAAAAAGAAGAGACATTTAATTCATCTATTTTAGCCATAAATAGTGCTGTACTTGGTGGAGATCGTCTTGAACTGGTTAGCAATGAAGGTGGAAATCAAACTTACGATTTTGGAAGTGCAGGTTTTTGGGTGCGAGATCAAAATGGTCGAGATTATTTATTAACCGCTGGACATCTTGTTCTTGGAGAAAATATAACTTCTATGACTTTTTATCATATATCCGCTCAATTAAATAATTTAATTAGTCCAGTAGTTATGAATAATGTTATTCCATTTGACTATAGTTTAGTCTTAAGGCAAAATGAAATATTGCTTTAACTTCGAATATAAGGGATACGGGTAGAACCGGCCACATAGAATTATTAATTAAGGATGCTGTAGATATAATTACTCCTGGGGTTCATGTATGTAAAACCGGTTATAAGACAGGAACTACTTGTGGTGAAGTTACATCACGTAATACAGTAGAAAGATCTGAAAGTGACCTTGTTATAGGAGTTCTCAAATTACTCTTGTTTGTTGCTGCAGGTGATAGTGGTGATTCTTTATGTCATTATAGGGAAGATGAGTTACCATACGTGGATGCAGTTGGCATAATAAAAGGTGGAGATGTTATTAGAAGTATTGCCGTAGGCATACCAATACTTATTCCTTTACAAAATCATGGGATGTTTCTTGTACATTATTAGCACGATAGACAGCGTGAATGCGTCAACCATCTTATTTAAGTGTGGCTAAAAATAAATAAGCAAATATTTATTAATTTACTGGATTTAACCTCTAAGAGAATTGTGCTATTCTTGATAAAGTTATAGTCACTTCAGAAATACAATAATGTAATAACCAGATTATGAGTTAGAGGTTGGATGTGTGCCAGGTCGGTGGCGTAGATTGCCTGAACTACGAATCAGATTTCAAGTTCAGTTGCAACGTAACACGAACAAGAAAATTCATACGGTCGTTTTGTCAAAAATCGCTTATTGTTTGAAAAAATGCATATAAAACTACCCTTAGCGCACTAATAAAAAGGTTTCTTTGAGTCTAACCCTAATATAAACAAACTTTAAAGACTTTTGACTGCGTCACAAACGGCACACATTCAAGAATCGATATAGATTGTACCCATGTAAGAGCCACCTGGGTGACCTGAATATCATTTGTTAATCGGGTCATAACTAATACTGCTCGGGTAACCCGGATTAAATTTGAAAAATCCTGATATTATTTTAAGTGTATAATATTGATAAAAGATTGTTATACTCTCAATAAATAAACTTGAATAAGATATTAGAGTAGCGTACCTCAAGTACTTATATAAATGATAAGGATAAATAATAAGGCTAAATATACGTAAATAAGCAAAAATAAATGGGATTTAAGTAGCGTATCTAAATAATTTATTGATAGAAATTATTGAGAAATATAGTAATACAAATGATCTTTATGCTCAATCTGAATCAAAATAACCGTTAATGATACACACATATTGTCGCGGCTGAAGCTGGAAATGGCTGAAGCTGGAAATTAGAGGTCTCGATTTAAAACTATAAGCCCTGCTAAA